AGACCCCCCCTCCGACCCTCGACGCTGGCCCCGGGGGGACCTGGCTGGGACCGTGGCCATCATCACCCCCCATGCTGCCACCACACCAGGGCACCCCAAAGGTGGGGGGTGGCTCCTGGGGGGTCACAGGGACATTGCTGTCACCTCCCTGTGGCAACCAGTGACAGGGACCTTCTTCCAGAGTCACCAGTGGCAGGACAATTACCACCATGTCCCCAACCTCTCTGGGCTCTGCCACCCCAAACGCTTCCCCCAGCACCCACATGTGTTTCCTGTGCCTGCCCTTCCCCTGCCTGTCCCTCCCACACTGCCTGTCCCCACCTGCTGCAGCTTCGCTCAAGTTCAAGGTTCAAACTCCACAGAGCCCAGTCTGTAAGGAGACTGGGACAAGAGCAGCAAGCACCAGCCCCTGTCCTGCAGGCTCTGTCCTCCCTAGGATCGCCCCAGTCTGGTCGCTGTCACCCCTGTCCCTGGCTATGTCTGTGTCAAGCCCCTTGGATGTGGAGAACAGCCCCTGGATGCTGCCAGGGCCCCCAGTCACAGAGGAGGAGGACACAGAACCCAGGGAGAAGGTCTGTGCTGTGTGTGGGGACCGTGCCACCGGGTACCACTTCCACGTCATGACCTGCGAGGGCTGCAAGGGCTTCTTCAGGTGGGGACTGCAACCAGAGGAGATCCAGGACAGCAGGGGACAGGGTAGGATGAGAGGGAATGGGTTAGGGCAGCAAAAGATGGGACAGGATGGGATGGGACAAGGTGGGCTGAAACGGGACGGGATGGAATGGGATAGGATGGGACAGATGAGATGAGAAAGGGCAATATGGGACAAGATGGGACAAGATGGGCTGGGATGAAACGGGACAGGATGGGTGGGATAAGATGGAATGAAGTGGTACAGGTTGAGACAAGGAGACAGGGCAGGATGGGACAAGACACAATATGGTGGGATGGAACAAGAAGGTCCCATGTCAGGGACTGGGTGGGACAAAATGGGGTGTTCACTGCCACCCCATGCTTGGGTGACCCGGATTCCCTGGGGCACAGCAGTGACAGGGTCCTGGGGGCTGGAGGTGGCCCCCAGCCTGGGACATCCTGTCTCCCAGGTCCTGCAGCCCCTCTATCTCCCTGGGGACACTCAGTGACAGCTCACTCCCACGTCCCCCAGGCGCTCCATCAACAAGGGTGTCCACTTCACCTGCCCTTTCACCCGCAGCTGCCCCATCACCAAGGCCAAGCGGCGGCAGTGCCAGGCCTGTCGCCTCCAGAAGTGCCTCGATGTGGGCATGAGGAAGGACAGTGAGTGTGGTGGCACAGGGGGGACATGGTGGGAGAGGGGACAGGGTGACACAGGGGAGACTGGGGGACGAGGGGCATGTGGAGCAGAGAGATGGAAGACCTGGGGGAGGATGTGGGGGTAAAGGGGATGAAGGGGACCTGGGGGGACAAGGGACAGAGAGGATTGGGTGGGATGGCAGAGGAGGGGACAGGGCAGTCAAGGGGTGAGGGGACAGCAGGAACTGAAGGGACAGCAAAGGGATGCAGGAGAGAGGGGACAAGGCGGACCCCATCGGGGAGACGGGATCAGGGAGCACTGGTGGCACCCAGGGGGCCGTGCCACCAGCGTCCCCGGTGGGGTGACGGTGACGGTGGGGCAGTGATCCTGTCGGAGGAGGCCCTGCGGCAGCGGCGGGCGCTGCGGGGGCAGCGGCGGTTGGCGCGGGA